GCTTTTCTCTCGCATTTCCTTCCTCTTTTCCTCTTACCCTCCACATATGGTCACAGAGTACCACAGAGAGCCTGCATGGCCCCTCCATTGAGCCACAAACACAGGCATCTTCAAGGTCTTCACAGTCGTGTGAGCTGTGTGTTGGGAAGCTTTCCCACCTAATGTAAAACGTGCAGAAGAGGAGAGAGATTTCAAGAAAGATTGCCTCTAATTATTGTGCCCAATTGCTTCTGTTTCCTGTCCTGAAACTGAATGTAGAAGCTTGAATGTTGACAGAAGTCTGAAAAACAAAAGGGAAACAAACCTCAGCGCTCTGTAGTGGTTTGAATAAGATGTTCGCTACAGTCTGGGACATTTGTATATTTTGTCCCCAGTTAGTGGAGCTATGTGGGAAAGCTTAGGAGGCGTGGTTCTGTTGAAGGAGCCATGTCATTGGAGGTTGTCTTTGAGGGCTTAACGTCTACTATTTGAGGTCATTCTCTGAGTATGCCTTCAGTTTGAGAGGTGCGCCCTCAGTTTGCCGTTCCAGCCGCTGTGCCTACCTGCTGTCATGGTCAGCCCCTCTGGACCCATAAGCTTGGATAAACCAGCTCGTTCTTCTCTGAGTTACCCTGGTCACCATGCAGTTTTTTGTTTTGTTTTGTTGTTGTTTATTTTGCCATCATGAGAAAATACTAGAGGAAAACAACTTAGAAAGAAAACACTTGTTTCGACTCCTGGTTTTAGAGGATGCAGTCTATGGTGGAATGGCCGCCTTGTTCTGGGCCTGTGACAGGCAGATTACCATGGTAGCAGGGATATGTTGAGGAGGGGCGGTTCACCTCTTAGCAGCCAGGAGATGGGAGAGATAGAGAGTGGGCTTGTTTTAGAATGCTTTCTCTTACATTTCTCCCATCCTGGCTCCCATCTATTGAATGGCGCTGCCACATTCAGGGTAGGGCTTTCCCTATCAGGTGTGCCCATATAACAACCATCTTTGGAATGACCCACTGACACCCCCTCCCCCCAGAGGGTGCTGTTCCAATAACCTAGACTCGGCTTCTTAAAATTCTCTACCCATAATCCTGTCTTTCTGAGAGATTTCAGTGACTTGAGATATATACATATATAAAATAGGCATAAAAACCAAACACTTACTGATTGGTGTGTGTGTTTAAAGAAATTAATTCTAAAGCAATTCTTTGGTATTCCTATAATACTGATAATAAATCATAGATTTATTTTAAAGACCATTGAGGGGCTCGCTATCACCTGTAACTCCAGTTCCAAGGGATCCAGTGCCCTTCTCTAGCCTCTTTGGGAATCTTCACACACAAGAACATACACATAGTACATACACACCCTCAGGCACATACACATGAAAAATTTGACAAAGAAGACATTTTAAAAAATAATTGAATCTTGGTTGAATATTTGACACTGAAGGACCCAGAGCCTCTCTATTATTTTTGGGGATTGATGAACATTTTGATTTTATCATCACTGTCGCCGAGAATGTCTGTGCTGGAGTACACAGCACACAATTGCAGTCCTATGTTTAGGGACGTTTTAGAAACGGTTAGAAAATCTTTCCTAATTCCAAGCCAGGATTCCATTTAATGACTTTTTATGAAACTCAAGCCGGCACCCCAAATAACAATTTTTATAATCAAGCATTCGAACACAGTCCACCCGAAAGACAGGCTAACGATATTGTCATGCTGAGAAATAATGGCAGGAAGCTGTTGCTAGCGAATGGATATGTTGCTACGAGAGCAGAAAGCTTTGCAGTTGAGGAAAAACACAGTAGCATCCTATAGTGTTGAACGTGCACTGGCGCGATCCAGGCCATCTTAGCTGGTGCCTGGTGGCGTGAACACCACGTGTGCATCAGGTGCTTAGAAGCGAGGCTTCAGGCTGGGTGATTCTCAAACACCTAGAATTTCGTAAGCTTGTCATTGTGAGTTAACGTTTGGTTGGTGTGCACTCATAATCCTTTTACTGTTCACAAACATTTCACAACTATCACTATTCATTTATGTGACCCCTGTATGGTCACAGTTTAAAAAACCGTGGCTGATTCATCTCTCAACGAAACTGACTTGACAACCAAGGTTTGCCATTACACCACTAGGTGATGGCTCTTGCCATCTACTTTTCTGTTTATTTGTCAAGACAGGGTTTCAATGTATAATGTCCCTAACTGTGCTGGGAATTGCTTTGTAGACCAGGCTGGCCTCAGACCTACAGAGATCTGCCTGCCTCTGCCTCTCGAGTGCTGAGATGAAAGGTGTGTGGACCATCACCTCCTGCCTGCTCTTACCTACTTTTAAAAGATTCCTTAGGGGCTGGAGAATGGCTCAGAGGTTAACCCGAGGACCCAGGTTCCGTTCTCAGCATCCACATGGTGACATACAACCATTTGAAACCCCAGCTCCAGGGGACCCAATGCCCTCTTGTGACCTCTTCAGGCATGGACAAGCACAAGGTGTATACACAGACTTGCAGGCCAAACCTCACACACATACAGAATCTTAAAAAAAAAAACCTTTGTAAATAATAAAAAATTAAAGGATTCTTTTTGCATAGTCCTGACACCTGAGCAGTTGCCTCTTGAAAACAGCTTTGGGAACACCACATTCTGCTGTAGGCAGATGACTGCCTTGGCTCTGTCCCCACCCCAGTGATCCGGCCCCTGTCTTCAGCTGGCCGAGTCCTCCCTTATACTTTAGACTCACTTTTTTCTTACATGGATCTTGCTTCACTTAACTGCAGGATGGCAAAATGGTGGTGTACAGAATCACACAGTGGCTTCATCTGTCAAGGCTATCCCCATAGCCCTCGTTTTGGGCTGTCATTAGATGTTGTGCTCGTAGCCCTCGTTTTGGGCTGTCATTAGACGTTGTGCTCGGAACAACGTCTAGTAGAAAATGTCAAGGAATAGTTGGTATAGTTATCATTATTATCCTTTGCTGCAAGTATACAGCATGTGATTTTTCCTAATATGGAAATACTCAAGTTATTAAATAACCAGGAAGGAACACCCAGGCCGTTTTATAACCCAGCTCATCTCCTGATACCACCAATGCTGTTCGTAGGAAAGTTAATATTTCGTAATTTTACTGTAGAGATATTTTGCTTCTGTTTCTTTTTCTTCATTTTTACTCACTCTACACATGACCTTTGAACCATAGTCTCTAATTTGATTGGATCTATTAGGTAGGAGAGAGGCCATGGAAATAGGCACAGTAGAAAAAAAAACAAGTGGAGCAAATGTACCCTTGACTCCACGCCCTGGTGTTACCTGGACTGAATTCTCAAAGGATTACTTCCTAAACAAGAGTATTGCCTTCTTTCCTCTGAGTTTCCAGGACAGGTCAGAAATCAAATTCCAGTGTGCGTGTGGTTGTTTCTTCCTCGTGCCTGGTTTCTGAATGTCAGTTGGTAATGATTTTTAATTTTCACCCAGAAAGGAAATCTGAGCCTCAGCAGCCACTTATGAGCTGGGCTTGGGTTGGGCACAGCTGTTGCCTTTAGGGCCTGTTGTCACCCAAGTTGAAGTGGCATCAAGACAGATGAACAGGAAGATAGATGCCAACCCAATGAAAGGGACACTCAGTTCCGCTCAGCAGAGGAATGTCCTGTCCCTGGAGCTGAGTCTCCTGACTCTGATGTGTCCACACAGAGACCCTCTAACGACTTAGCTTCATTGTCTGAATATTACATAAGCAACACATAGCAATCCTAAGTTATGTGAGTCAAATGGCTTTGATTAGCAATGTTATTGATTCAGAATCCAGATGAGAAATAAAACTACCATTACTTTCTTACTAATCAGAGAAAAAATGCTTCCGTAATATGATTAAGGCTGTCAGGAATTATAGAGAGTTGGAGAACAATAGGTTTTTGTTGGGAGCAGTGAGACCCCAGATCCTGAATTTCTTGTAATCCCCTGATCTGAGTGCCTACAGCTGCTCTGAGCACGAGACCTTCAGGAGTTCCTGATGGCAGGAGAGTGGTTTCTGGTGGGTTTGGCTGGGGCGTGGCTATCTCTATATAATCTGCCCCTGAACACAACAAAGGAGCATTCTTGGGGAATTCAAGAATGATCTGTGTCGCTGTCTCTCTGTCTGTATGTGTCTGTGTATTTTAAGCTCCAGCCCCTTGGCCGAAGCTCGTGAACTGGGTGCCAGTGCACAGAGCGCAGACATGGGGGCGCGGTGTGCGGCAACTTGTCTCCACTGAGGTTTCGGCATTTGGAGGTCTCCACCGAGATATTGGCAGGGTTTTTTTTTTTTTTTTTAATTTTTTAAACTATGAAATGGTCAAGAAGGAGTAAAAACACATTTGTACTTAAGGGATACACAGGGGTTATGTGCTCTGGGCTCAGGGGCAGATGAGCGTTACTGACTGATGGAGGATATGCTGTGGCTTTGGGAAGGAGGCAGCTGTGAGCTCTGGGGCCTTCCGGAGTGATAGAATGGTAGAATACCCCTGTCTGGGTGGTGTAAATGACAGATATTTATTTTTGGACAGTTCTGGATACTAGAGGTCCAAGATCTTGGCCTCAATAAATCTGGCTTCTCTGGAGGTCTTTCCTTTGCCTACAGAAGGCCACCCTTTGCTAGGTCCTCAAATGGTCTCTTATTTGTGTGTGCGTTCATGCACAAAACCCCTCCGGCATTGCCTGGTATGTCTTCATCTCAAGACAACTGTCAGGACTAGAGCTCACTCAGCTGTCCCCATCCTCTTAACCCCCTTTTGAAAGGCCATACCTCCAAATACAGTGGCATTCTGAGAAGAAAGTACTGGGGTTTCAGCGTATGGCTGGCTGTGTGCAACTTACCCATCCCAGATGGCTTCTTGGGTGAGGATGAGAAGCTAGATCTGGAGGAAATAGGATAGGTGTGGGTAAGTGTGAGGGCGGGAGAGGGAAACGGTGGAGATGCAATCAGCTCAGAGCTCAGCTTCTTATCGTCCTGAACAAGGCTTCATGACTGACAGATGTTTTCATTCTTCAGAAGACAAAAGCAAATCATTCCTGGCAAGAGGTGCGCTTATCAGCCCTGAGTGGGAGAGTGACGGTGAGTAGACATTTAAGTGACACCTGTTTTACTTTCTGGGGCTAGGCAGTGCCGCAGGCCTTAAAAGCATTACTGGAGTGAGAAACAGTGACAAGCACCCTACCTGCCACACCCACCCACCACACACACACACACATATACACCCAGACACACAACACATCACACACACCACATACACACACACCACATACACACAAACACACAGACACACACAGGTATACACACACACAGGTATACACACACCCTCCCCCCACAAATCCACAGACACCACACACACACATACACACACAGACACACGTCACACCACACATACCACACACACATCGGCACACACACACACCATACACACGACACACACAGGTGCACACACAGGTATACACCCCCCCCACAAATCCACAGACACCACACACAAACATACACACACATCACATACACACAGACATATAGACACATACAGATGCACACACAGGTATACACACACACCCCCCACTGTGGACACCTGTGTGGCCATGTTTTATAACCCACGATAGTCTGACAATGAGGCACTCAGGATGGTCACCTGAAGCCAGAGAAGCTGTGGTTCAGCTCTGTGGGGTTTTTTGTTTGTTTTCTGGTTTTCCGAGACACGGTTTCTCTGTGTAACAGCTCTGGCTCTTCTGGAACTCACTTTGTAGACCAGGCTGGCCTCAAACTCACTGAGATGTGCCTGCCTCTACCTCTCAAGTGCTGGGGTTAAAGGCATGCACCACTACTGCCCAGCAAGCTCTATGATTTTAAGAATGTCTTTGAAGTTCCTGCCTTCCTCTTTTGTTCTGACTGTATTTTTAGTTCATTTTCCATTTCCTGAAGCAGATTGCATGTCTCATCTCATCCCCCATCTCTAGTAAATTCCAATTTAGCAGGACTTCTATAGCCCAGAAACGCTTTCTGGATGTGATTCGGGCTGTTTCCAAGAGCCTGGCTTTTGATTAACAATCTCTTAAATTTTGCTGTAACCACTCATTCCCCCAAACAAAAACAAAAGCCTTGCCCTGACTTCTTTCTACTTTTCCCATTTGGACGGGGACTGAACGTTTGTCTTGGATCTGAGCGGGAGCACAATTCTTCCCCCCTGCACAAGAATTCATGTTCTCTCCCTATTCTCTTTACTTCAGGGATTGATACAACCATCACGTCTATTCAGATTATGGAGATCCAGCAGACGATAGACCACCGGTACTGCAGCAGACTGCTTCGCTGCGGGTGGGTAAGCCTCCCTCGATGCTCCGGCTGCTTCTGGAATTTACTCAACGTTATAGTTTTGAGACTGGAATGAAAACCAAAGCTCCATGTTGAAATCCGTGTGTGTTTACATTGTTTCTTAAGTAAAAGCACGTTAGGTACATGGAGTACAAGGGAGTTCAGAAATAGTGGGCGTTAGCAAACATGAGTATACACAACCCCCACGATCCCAGTCTTCTTGTTCCATAGCTCAACCCCAAGCAAAATCCTAGGGATCAGGCTGACTCCTGGGGGCACACACTAGCTGACTTTTGAACACAGGATGGATGTGAGTCAACATTTATATAACTACAACGGATATTAGTATAACTGCAGTGGAAATTTGGCTTAGCTTAGTGTGGCTTTTGTTGTAGGAGGCAAGCAATCGCCCAAATAGTTAAGACATTTTTCTGCATCATTATCCATCCCCAGTGTTTATCATACCCCTCCCCCCGAAAAGCAGGGCAGTGTTGCATCTAGACACGTTAGACTAAAGTGGCTGCAGCAAGTGCAAATGCATATTGTAAACAGTCAGAGTGGGACTTATTTCTTAATTTGATACTTACCTGTTGGGTGCCCAGAGGCGGGGCATTACCTTCACTCAGGGTGTGGGTCGGTGAGGACGAGTTCTGTGGGTTTTCAGCATTAGGTTTTTTTCACCCCAATAGAATGTAGGCTTCAAGTTGAATGTCCAGAGTTATAAAAATAACGTATTTAAGAAGTATTTATGACACCTATGTTTATAGCCACATTGAATTCTCACATTAGCTGTAAGAAGTTGGTGTTATTTATCTTTGTTTTGTAGTTTGCTGTGAGCTGAACGAGTTTGCGTTAGATCACGCCTTTAGTAAGCATCCGAGACAGATGTTAGTTAACGTGGTAGAGTGAAGATAATGATGAATCACATAGTTCGGGCCCGGGGTCTCAAGCAAAATGTTTGTTCACATACATTCATTTCTCACCTGCAAGGTAGGGAGGGTTAATATCGGGCTAGTGGGGGTGCTGAGAATCTGCAGATATCTGAAGGTCTATAATGGGAAAGGGATTCTATGTAGTTATATAGTTATAAACTGTGACCCTAAGGCAGATTGGCAGTGTGTGTGTGTGTGTGTGTGTGTGTGTGTGTGTGTGACCAACAATGTTAAGGTTTTTTTTTTTTAGCTTTTTTGACATGTAATTGACAAGAAAACATTAAATACTAAATATATCAGTGATGCACAACATGATATGCTTTTTTATATCTTGGTGCACAACTCATGTATTTTTAGTTTTTTGATTTGTTTTTTTTTGAGATAGGGTTTCCCTGTAGCTTTGGAGCCTGTCCTGGAACTAGCTCTTGTAGACCAGGCTGGCTTTGATCTCACAGAGATCCACCTGCCTCCGCCTCCCGAGTGCTGGGATTAAAGATGTGCGTCACCACCGCCCGGCTATTTTTAGTTTTTAAAGATGTAACAATAAGTAAAAATTGCACATATCCAAGGTGCACAGTGTCTTATTCTGTTACTCCTAAGTATTATAAATTGCTGGCCTTTTCTGCTCCCTGTATGTTTTTCTTTCACATTTTGACCATTAGTGTAGTATTATTTAAGCAGGATAACAAATGACTTATCTGATTTGTGTTGTTTTCCTGTGCCATCTGAGGACTGACCAGTCATAAGGAGTGCTTGAGTACATCCACACATGCCTTTAGCTGGAGTAGTTCATTCTCACAGGGATCAGTGCAGCCCCCTTCTCTCTAAGAACCTATTATTTGTTAGGTGGACCTAGGGATAAGCAAGTCTACCTTACAATTTCCTCCATCACTAAATGGTAGTCAGGACTATAATAATTGCAGTTGACTTTGGTTCTAAATACATACATTTCCTGCTAACATTGTTTAAGGGGGCATGACTTACGTTAATATTATCTCAGGTCTCCTTTCCAGGAGGATTTAAGTTTACTTCATTTTCCTGAAATTTGTTTCCCTATGACCAAAGTCATTTCCTGTGCATTTGGTCTGGGACTTGACTTTCCATATTTATATTAAGGTACAAACACGTTCATTCTGACATTGGATTAGCTTGTTTCTGAAAACTATGGAAAAGGAATGAGGTTAAATTCAACTTTCTAAATTTATCATGTGATTTTTACAGTTTGCATACTATGTAATAAATAGTAAAAAAAAACTTGAAGCTTTTGGGGCATATTTTGACTTGTGATTTTATTTTCTTTTAAAATCAGGCCCGGACTTTATAATTATAATATTCCTGTTAATAAGAACACACCCACCAACGTCAAATTCTCTCTGGAAATCAAGTAAGTGCATGGCTATACGAAACAAGACTGCTTGCTCATTCATTGAATAGTAAGTCTGAATTGATGTCATAGTTTAGTGAGTTAGGAGGTAAAACGCTGTCAGTCCGTGTTAATTGATAAAGGGTACAGACGGTGGGGTCATCCGGGCTCCTTGGAAGAGTGGGGAGGATTGGAGGCCACATTCTTGCTTGTAGGAAATTAGATATTCACAGGTCTCAGGTTTCCACTGGCTGTCTTCTTGAACTGGGGTAGGAACACCAATATTAACATGGCCCCTGGGTGGGAGCTGAACATTTTGGTGATCTCCAGGTGGCAATACAAACGAGGGTGGTATTCTTTTGCTTCAGGACAGAAAAAACACAAACAAACAAAAAACCTGAGTTTTGAATTGGGCAGAACAGGATTCGAATTCTGTCTGTTGCTTCCTCATTTTGTGATCTTAGGAGAGACAGTTACTGTCTCTGTGCTACCATTTCTCCACCTATAAGATGAATATTACACAATGCCATGGCATGTAGCATTGTTATCAGAACTGTCGCCAACACTCGTGGAATTGGCAACTGCCGTTTGTGGAGCACAGACTACCCATCCGCTAATGCACATGTTTATCTTGGGGCATACAGTCCTATGACAGCCATCCAGGGATGAGCTTCTTCCTAGCGTATGCTTTACACGTGGGACACTAGGGTACACAGGTCAAATGTCTGGAGCTGGCGAGATAGCTCAGTTAGTAAATTGCTTGCTACACAAGGTGAGGACTCAAGTTCAATCCCTAGTACCCCCGTGAAAAGTTGAGTTCAGGAGTCCTTGTCTGTAGCCTTAGAACCAAGAAGGCAGAGGCAGTCTAGCCTTAGGTGAGAGATGGGGTTCCCTGTCACCCCAAAAAAAAGTAAGGTACAAAGCAATAGAGGAAGATGCCCAACATCAACCTCTGACCTCCACACATGCACACGCATGGATGCATACCACACACATAAACTATGTTCCGAGTTTATGGTGGCCCCCAGCCATTCTCCTACCAATCTTGTAAGATGTGTGTGGGTAAAGACAATATTCCTTCCGGACCTGTAGTTAGGGACTCAATGGACAGTAGCTTGTTTTATAGCTACAATGTCTCTAAAATCACAGCTATGAGTCAGAATTTAATCACCCCAGAGCTCAGAATTCTTCTTTTTTCCTTCCTTCCTTCCTTCCTTCCTTCCTTCCTTCCTTCCTTCCTTCCTTCCTTCCTTCCTTCCTTCCTTCCTTCCTTCCTTCCTTTTCTTGTGGTGGTGTGGATCAAACTCAAGGCTGTGGGCATGTTAGGCAAAAGCTCTGCCTCTGAGCTACATGTCCAGCGCCTAGGTATTCTCAGACAAAATAACGCAGTCTGGCCCGGCAGTCCCAGTTCTCCGGCATCTACTTCCGGAATGCAGGACTGTAGGTGTGTACTGCCACGTCTGCCCTGTCATCTCGTACTTTATGTAATTATTTCAACCCACTTCCCTCAAATGTGCGCAATGAGCTTTGCGGAAGAAGAGAGTTTTATTCGCTCTTGACTCTAGTCTTACCCTTGCTCCTTCTTCTCCTTCTTCTCCCTTTTCTCCTTTCCTCAAACGTCACTCCCCACACCCCCAGCTCCGCTTCCCTTGCTCCGCTGTTCCTAACCCATCGTTCACTGTGCCTCTGTCTCCTCTGTCTCACCTGGATTTCATACGCCTTCTCTCTTAATTTTGCTCATCTACGAGGTAGTGAACTCAGCCCAGCTGCATGCTGGGGGAAGGTAGCCATAGTTTCGCGACTTAGAATCCACCACGAAACAATGTCAAATGAATGGCGAGTATACTAGCCTAAGAGCCCAGGTGTGCTGGGCTCCAGTGTCTGCTGGGGAAGGCAGAAGAGCATCTCTCTTCTCATTCCTGGTTTTCAGCGGAAGGAAATAAGATTATACATTAGAGCCCATGAAGGGCCTTATCACCTTGAACCACTAAATCAAGACTTTGAGCTTATGAACCAGTTTCCAAATACCAGTGATTTAAACATAAGAGATATAGTAGCCCCCACGTATCTATAACTTCCCTTACCCATGATCAACTGTGGTCCAAAAACACTGAATGGAAACTCCCAGAAATAAACAGTTCTTATGTTTTACACAATATATTGTTATGATCATTATCATTTTATTTTTAGTGATGTTAATCTCTTTGCTATGCTTAATTAAAAAATTATCCTCTCTCATAGAAATGTATGTATCTGAGAACAGATAGTAAACACGGGATTTGGTGCTATCCAGAGTTTCAGGCATCCACTGGGTGTGTTTGAAAAGACCTGCTGAGGATGCAGGAGCTATTCCGCTTAGAATGTGGGGGTTTCTTATTTGTGCAAAAATGGACGAATCTCATCCTCTTAGGGAAGACTCACTCTTCTCATAGATCTTCTGCCCTCATAACTTTAAAAGTGGATGATTTCTTTATCTTTTAAAAATGTAGTTCTTTGGCAGTTTCAAGCATGTGTCTAATGCATTCTGGTCACCTCTACCCCTACCTTTGCCTAGCTCCTTTCCCCCTTCCCCTACCCCTTCCTAGCTCCTGCCCACCCCTGCAGAGAAGAGGGAACCTCAGCTGAAAGAATGCCTCTGTAAAACTGGGCTGCAGGAAGGCCTACAGTGTAGGGAATTTTTTCACTCAGTGATGGATGGGGGAGGACCCAGCCCATGTGGGTGGAGCCACTCCTAGACTGGTGGTTCTGGGTTCTATAAGAAAGCAGGTTGAGCAAGCCATGGGAAGCAAACCAGTGAGCAGCACCCCTCCATGGCCTCTGCATCAGCTCCTGTCCTCCAGGTTCCCGCCCTGTCTTAAGTTCCTTCCTGACCTGACTTCCTTCAATGATGTGGGAACATCAACCAAATAAATCTTTTCCTCCCCAACTCGCTCTTGGTCATAGTATGCATTGTGGCGATAGTAACCCTAGCTCAGTCATGGCCGCAGGGAAGCTTCCTAAATACCATCCCCACCAGTCATCTTCTGACTTTTCATAGATTCTACTAACTCCTTTTGCCTCTTTCTTCATATCTTGAAGCACTACAGAGCCATTGATAGTCTTCCAGTGCAAATTTACCCTTGGGAATATATGTTTCCACAGTCAAAGGGAAAGAAGCCAAAGCCACAGACAAGACTCCCCGATGACTCAGGTAATCAATGTTTCATGGCTCCCTTACCCATATGTCCTGGTTCCAGTACAAGTCACTTAGGATCTTGGCCTCTGCTCCCTTCTGAGGAAGGGATGCCTGGAACCAAATGCTAGCTCTTCTTGTTAGCTGACTTTGGCTGCCACACTTGTCTCCTCATCGTCCCTCTTTCCTTAAGGGACTATAGACTGTTCTAACAACATATATCAAAAGCTGTTGTCATGGAGCTTCTCCTAGAATCGTCAAGGGTACACTGCCCTAGTCTGCCCTCCTTCTGACTGTGTGTAACGTGTGGTATGAGATGGGAGTTTCTCCTTTGTTTCTTAGGGGTATCAGCACATTTGGAGCCTCCCCGTGGCCCCATTCTCCGACAGTGCCTACCATTTCCGAGTAGCTGCACCAGTAAGCATGCCGTTTCTCTCTCTTCCTTTTCAGTAAGAAGTTAAATACTCAATAAATAAAAGAAACACCAATGAAAGTTAACTTTTATGCTTGTCTTTCTCTTTTCCTGTCCCCACAGGATTTAGCGGACTGCTCAACGGATCCTTTTTATGCTGGGGTTTTCTTCACCGACTACTTCTTGTATTTCTATCGACGTTGTCACTAATTTATTCAAGTTCAAGGACTGCACCAAAGGGAAGTGCGCAGACATGCAGTTGACAGAAACTGGCATTTCCTCTTGCCACTCCTGCAAAGTGTTTATATTTTTGCTGAAGAAATTTTTCAGGTTTGACTTCCAGTGGTTTTGAGACTTAATGAGGAGAATAAAGCCTTTGTCGAAGGATGTGGAGTTGGATTCTGTCACCTCGATGAAGGAGACATGTCTGCGTTGGGTCTGAAAACACAGCTTCCTTTATACCAGAAGCTGTGAGACCAAGATTAGCTTGTCTAGAATTACTCTTGGTTATCGCGTTTCTAGGCGTTGGAGGAAAAAGGACCAGGATAAGTTGGGTCCACTAAATATGAAGAATTTGTGGCAATGGTGGAGGAAGGGCTGGGCTGTGGGAGAGGGTGAGTGTTGCATGACACTGACCTTGAATATAGGCAAACTGATGTGTGCATGCAAGTGGGGTGTGTGTGATATGTAAACATTAGATATAAATTGACTTGATAATGCAATAGCTTTGCCATGCTTGATGAATACTGGGTTTTCTGTGTGAAGACAACAGAAGCTCCTATTTCTAGAGCCCTGGTGTAAGAGTTTCTTCTGTTTGTGTGTTGCTTTCATTGGATAATGAATAAAGAAACTGCCTTGGTCTAGTCGATAGGACAGAGTAGATGGAGAAGACAGAACTGAACTCTGGGAAGAAGGGCAGAGTGGCAGATGCCATGGATCTCCTGCCTAAGATGGACGCTGGTTAGAATCTTGCTGGTAAGTCACAATCACGTGGTGATACACAGATTAGTAGAAATGGATTAAATTAAGATGTAAGAATTAGCCAATTAGAGCTAATGGGCCAGGCAGTGTTTAAATGAATACAGTTTCTGAGTGATTATTTCGGGTGTAAGGTAGCTGGGCAGCCAGGAAGACAAGCAGCCCCTCCTCCTGTTGCAGGGCCCATTGAAAGTAACCAAACCAGTTAATTCATCTCCTTATGGTGCTTTCCCTGGGATGGCAAGACTGGTTCTGCAGTGCCTCTGTCTGCTCACTGTCCCCAGGACTCCATACATGGTGGACAACATGGTCTCTTGTCTTGGGAACAGTGAACGAAAGTTCATTCTTTGGTGGCAACCACCTGCTGACTAATTTCCGCTACGTTGCCAGCTCTTAGAATGCTGATGGCCAAGCCACACACAGCACAGTGCCACAGTACAGGGCTGCAGAATGCCTGGTTTCCCTTTAAGTCAGTGGGTCAGCGGGTCAGCGATGGTCAGTAGTGACCACACCTCCACTCGGAGATACTACCAAATGTGTGTCATGTGGCTAGAAATGGCTGCTCTGACCTTGGCAGTCTAGTGAAGACCTGGTACTTGTCCTCCCAGAGGCGCTCTGAAAGAAACTCCTTCATGCACAAGGAGTGCAAAGCAGTGATTAGTCAGGAGCTGGGGCTCCGCTGCCCACAGGCTCACCGTGGAGTTCACATCCTGGCTTTATCCATGTCTCCTTAGCCATGGTCTTTGACTTCCCTAAATACTTGTAGAGCAGGAAAGTCTGGATGTGAGAAAGGCTTAGTGAAGACGAAGCAGACAGAGCACAGGTAGGGTCTTCAGTCAATATGGGCTAATTCTTAAGTGCTTGGGCACAGCGGACAGATTGCTGTTATCATTTCATCGAGTAACTAAACACACAGATGATGAAGCCTTTTCATCAACCAAAACCCAGACTGCACACGGAACATATGCATCAGGCTTAATTCTCTTCTCTGTGTTTTGGAAACAGTTCTTCCTTTACTAACTGCATAGGTTGTGTGCAGTATGGGGGAAAGTAGCTTACTCCTTGAAGCAGCATTTCAGGGCCCTCCCCACCCCCATTTCTTATACTCAAATTTGGGGCGGCTTCTCCTGTGCTGTGGGATGCATCAGCCTGCCCCCACACAACTTAATGGTCTCAGGTGGGGCTGTGGGACACAGACCCACTGGCTTGACTCTTCTTGTGAAGGAGCGCTCCTCACAGCATAAATCCCGCATCTTATTCAAATCTTTTTATCGCAGGCACCCTGCGAGTTCCAGGTTGCTACAGTAGCTCAGTAATACCGGCCCTTAGCGGTTTCTGTAAAGCGACTGCTCTTTCCCATTAGCTTCCATTAGAAGCTTGAAGCATCTCCCCCTCCCCCCACCGCAGCAAACCTACAGGAGACTGTTGAGAGTCTTCAGACAGGATTTAGACTCAGCAAGGACTCAGGTGACCTCTGGCACATTGACATCAGTTACTGGGGGAGCCATGGGGAGACTGTGTATTTGAAGTGCCTTTCCTGCCGCAAGATGCTCTCTGTGGACCAGGCTCCCTCAAACCCATCATCTTTTCCTTGAGCCAAAGAACGCTTGGTTTTCCACTTGAACATTCCCAGCCTCTAGTGATTAAAACGCCTTTAACAGCCTTCCTCTTCAAAACTCGTTACCCCATGACCCTGAGGAAAACACCTCCGAGTCCTGAAAAACATACTCCTAAATCCTAAATATAGCATGTCTCTAAAGTGTCATGCCACCAAAATGGAGGAATTTGGAGAAACTTGGACAGCAGCTAAGAGAGCCTTAGGTTTGTGGTGACTAAATGCAATATGACATCTTGTATGAACTCCTAGAATGAAAAAAATATTAGTTGCAAAGAAAATATGAATAAAGTATTTATGAAACTCTAGGTTTCAGCTAGTAATAATGTGTGAAAATTCATTTAAATGGGAAAAGTATGTCATAGTCACATAACGTATGAGTCACAGGAGAGGGCTCTGGGGGTGGCTGAGTAGAGGGCTTTCTATGAAGAGTGATTAGCTGTGTTCAAGTATTCTGTGCCCGTATCAAAAGCCAGGTGTGGCTGCATGCCCCGGTAACTCCGCTGTTGGAGGAAGGAGACAGGCAGGTCCTACAAGCTGATTGGTCGGCCAGCCCAGCCAAAATGATGAACTTCTAGTTCTGTGAGAAACCCTGTCTCAAGGCAACACGACAGATAGCAATAGAGGGAGAACATGGATACACTGATGCCTGCCCGCTTTACATGCAGCAAACACAAGTGTGTATCACACACACACACAAACACACGTACACACATGCACGGGAGAAACTGGGCACTGGGTTTATAGGAACACTCCATATTATTTCTGTGATGTGATCTTTCTACATCTAAAATAAACTTATTATTTTACACACAATATAAATGAGTACAATTCTAACAACCTTGTGAGTTCTAATAAAGGTGCTTAAGACTTTGAAAGCGCTGTCTGAGTATTCAAAAGAATAGAACCATAAAAATTCCCTTGACAACTGGGATGTTGATGCCCAACCCTCTAACAAAAAAGTTGAGTGAGAATTTTAATAGGGGTGAGTTACTCTTACTGAATTTTCATCTTTTTTTTTCATATAACTTTTTTTTAAAAAAATTCTTTATTTATCTTTTATTTTCATGTGTGCCTGTGTGTGGTTATGTGCATTTGTGTGCCCCATGTGTGTACAGAATCCCGCAGAGCAGACAAGGGCGTCAGATCCCCTGGAACTGGAGTCACAACTGGAGTTGTGAGCTGCTATGTGAGTGCTGGGATTGAACACGGCTTCTTCGGAATGCCAGTGCTCTTAACCTCTAGGCCATCCAGCCATCCTGGTTTGATTTTATTTTATTTTTTTTAAGATATTTTCACTCTATAGTCTAGTCTCAAATTTTTGGTGGTCCTTCTTCCTCAAGCGCACAAGTTCTGGTAACAGAGGCTCAAGCCATCAGCCCCTGCTCTCATACAATTTTTGGATTTCATCTTTTGTGATAGACTTTCAATAGTACATTACGTAGTGAAGCCAGTGAACTTCAAAAGAAAAGCAAGACAAGCCATCCTGACAGCACTTTCAAGACCTCCTGCGTGATCTCACCACCTTGTGACTTGAAAGCGAAGGGAATTCTTCCTGTCTCCCATCTCTGTGGGCACAAGAAACGAGCCAGTCTTTCTGGTGCTAAATGTCATTGCTGTCCCCTCCATCACTTCATTTATCCTTGAGAAGTTTCTTCTTTCTGCGTAGCTCTTTAGAATTTACGAGAGACCACCAACCCTGATATCAACCCACCAAATAAACGACTCGCACGCTAATGGCTTGAGCAAGGGATATTTCTCTGGGACCCATAAACTGATTGGAGGCCATTTAGTCATAATCCAGGAGAGGGGTGGGGGAGGAGCGTGGAGGGACAGGGAAGGGGTGACTCTCTTGTCACCAGCCACTAAGTTCCATCTATCCTAACAGCTCACTTGGGAATGCTAAGAATCAGACTCACTTGGAGGGACATTCCAGTAAAATCCCCACTTGTCAACACTAAAAGTCTTCAAGGGCGAGTGACATTGATTTCTGCATCTGGCTCTAAAGAGGCAGTTGAATTCTAAAGCAGCACCTTAGGAATTCAGTCCAGTGCATTGTTGATGAGAGGTTGTTTAGAGTCAGTAGAGACGTGGCTTCAGAGACTTCCAGTTTACCAACCGTGTTGCTTGTCCACGTCCATCTCGTCTTGGCTGGTGTCCATGAACGGAAAAGTCTCTGTCTTGTGACATACAATTGGAGGAAGGGATGGCTGCCAAGGAGCGCAGTCCCGATCCTTCAATTTCTTTATGTTCCTACATAAATATAAAATGAGGTCATATTTTAGGAAGATTCTTGATAACGTGTCTGAACCAGAGTTGACCTCTCAAGCCAGCTTTTAGTGGCACCAGACTGACTTTCTGTTTAAATGCAGACTAACTAATCTGAGCTCAGAATCAGGTGACTTGATGTTAGCCAACAAAATATTGTTGGGGTCATCTTGGACAAGCCACTTGCCTTTGTAGATTGTACTTCCTCTTTGCAAAATCAGACGGATAATAGTCTTTCTACCACTAAGGGTTTTTGTGAACTTGAGATAAAATAGATATCTGTGTAGAATGTCACTTAGAGAGGAAAGACTGTGTGGGTACAAGAGTCATTAAGATTGGTCTCTGGCAAGCTGCTAATTTCAAGGAGTAAATACGGCATGGAAATCTTCCGTTTTAGAATGAGATTCGGGTTGTTATGCTAAGGGAAAGTTACTTATGTGTCCATGAACTCTCTTTTGCAGCCAGAGAACATGTTTCCTAGAATGCTATCAGGATCAACAAACATTTAATGAGAAATGTGTAAACCGAAACACTGTCCTTTTCTGTGCGGGCAGTAAGGAAAGAAAGCATACCCAAACACATTCAAGGTCATCCCACTCTTCTCTCGCGATAGCTTTTAATTGCTAATATTTAGAATAAAAATGTTGTTATGTTATACTATTTG